TAATAATAATAATAATAATAATAATAATAATAATAATAATAATAATAATAATATACATGTAATGTACCTGGAGGCCTTTCAGCATCCTTCACCTTCGGCGCCCTTGGTTAGGGATGGTTGCCCCAGCTTTGCCCAATATCTTATATGATATAAGTATAATACATATGTACCTGGATTACCTGGGGGTGTCGTCTCTGACCCAGAGGTTGACATGTAATATCCCTTCATCATGGGCGGCTTGTGGGGCTAAAAAGTGGGCGGGCACAATTATTAAGCTATCCGAGGCTGAAGATAGGCATGGCATAGTAAATTATGGGATGGTGTATAAAGTTAGGATATTTGGGTTGGTGAACGAGGACCTCGTGCTTTTATTTTCATTCTTTTTACTTGTTGCTTTGATTTCTAGAATTAAATTTGTTTGTTAGCTAAACATCAATTTCGTTCACCTTGCATTAGAAGTGAACACTCGAGTAACAACTTTCTTCACTCCACTACAAAAGAATTCAAAGGCAAAACTCATAGGACGGTGACTTAAGTAAGTCACATTCACCTCCCTCAGGTTCACGGTCACTGAGTCAGTTAAAATAGTGGCAAGACAATGAACCAATCACAATTCACTTGAGCACTCTGTTGGATTGCTCCGGGGCTCACATAATACTATGGTATAGAATAGTGTACAGTCCATCGTGTTTATTTTTAGACTGCCTACTGTGGGCTATGTAACGGCACTATACAGGGCACGAGCACATTTGAGATGTGCCGTCTTATTAATATTAAATGTATTGCCAAACTGGCTACGAGTGTCGTCATCGCTTGGGTTATCCCAAAGAGCGATTTATAGGTCAGGTTACCACTGGAATATCCTATTATGTTTAGTTAAAGCGCGTGGACTTTGGCATGGCATAGTAGATGTTTTACGGCGCTTTTAACACATAAATGACAGCTACGGCCAGCAAGGACCCTGTTTTGGTATAATACTTGGCTAGTGTTTGTTTCTGGCTTCTTTTATTTTTATTATTATGGGTGCTTTACGTAGTAGAACATAAAAAGAAATCTGGGTGGCACTGCACAACCGTGCTCTATGGACGAACCGTGTCTGCCCTCTATCCTTCTTGTAGGTCATGAGCTGCCGTTGCACATTCTACTATACAGTCCATGTTTTCATATTGTCCCATCCATGTTACTCTCTGTCTGCCCCTGACTCTCCTGCTCCACATCTTTCCATCCAGTCTGGAGTTGTTTTAAGTGAACAAATTATGATATTTTTCTCCATTTTATTTTGTTAAGCAGGGTATATCCCGTGTGCGGAATCTGATACACCTCATTATTCGTCTTTTTTGTTTTCCAGCTAATTCTGGCCATTCTCCAGTAGCACCACACCACAGTAGATGATCTCTTAAATAATTGACTTACCGTAACCCGGCCTACAAATTTGCTTATTATACACATGTACTTTTGAGATAGCGACCCCACCCTGCCCCCACATTTCAGTTGAGTAAGCTTGTAGAATTCATCTCACGGCAAACTAAACTTCAGAACCCTAGTTTGCAGTGCAGTGACCTTTATGAATGGGATTTTTGATTTTGTTGGTCACCCAACTTTAAAGCTCAGAGATCTGAGAAAATTGAGCAGAGTGATTTGATTTTTATCTTGTTTTAACCGAAGTCAGACAAAAGGGAACAAACTATAATAATCTTAATATAACACGATGTACATGTACATAAAAATCCCCCCTCCACCACTCCCCCCTCTCTCTCTCTCTCTCACTCTCTCTGTATGTCTGTGTGTGTGT